AGAGGAATGAGAATACATGGCTAAAAATTTCTCCTTTACCTTGTGAATTTGATCAAATTATCCCTCCTACCATAAATTGGACCAAGTCATGATGACAAAAATTGAAAAGCAAAAATCTCAAAGAGGAAACTAAAACATTCAATGGCATGAAGACAAAAACAAACCCATTATACTCCAACAAGAGCTCAACTAACTGTTATGTTCTTCAGAAAAGGGGATAAAAGATTTTTGTTATCCGATATAACAACATAAACATCGAGGATGATCTGCTATCATGGCATAATTGGACCATTCCACATTACTTCTGTACAACATATGTCATCATCAGATAAGTATATATATAAAAAAAACTGGCGATAAATAATGACATTTGGGATGCAGCATCTGTTGCAAAGTTATTGACAGAGCGCCTTCAGAAGGTGAGAAACTGGGAAGGCAGAGAATGTGGTTGAATTCAATCAAATGAACTGCACGGTTGAAAACACTTATGAGAAACTAGGAATCAATTTCCAGAACTACAAAGAGAAACTCCTCGTTTTGTTAAAAAGCAGAGTAACTAAGGTTGTGTTTGGTTAATGTTCCAAGACATGAGTAGATACAACAGAGACAGAATCGTGTGGTTGAAGAGACAAAAAAGCATAAATAAACATGTCCCTTAGATAGTTTTGAAGTGAATTTCAAGATTATTTTGAAGTAAATTTCTACTTTCAAAAAGAATGTACAAGAGACATGTCCTCTCTGTCTCCTTTATCTCCGTCTCTTGACAATAGCTAAATGCTATCTAGTAGAAATAATTGTGGTGATATGCTGTAGAGAAGATTTTATAAAACTGCAGCCAGTATGCTCTCATGGACTTGGAATTTCTTGGGGATGGAGGGTAACATGCTAGTCACAGGTAAACATCAAAATCAGAAATTCTAAACAGGCCTTGCTCAGGTCTATGTTATCACCATTTAACTCCCTGATTCTGAGATTTGTCTTCATAGATTGCCCATGACTTAGACTTGTATTAATGAATGATGCATGCCAAGAAAACAAAAACTCATCAATATGAGGAAAGATCAAGCATATAATGTTTATATTCATAAAAACATCCCTTAAAACCTTCAAAGTTAGAATTGACTTACTTACCAAAAAAAAAACCGCAGCTGTACCAAGGACAAATCCTAGTTTCAACTCAGCTGCCACTGCATCATTATCACCAACCAATGAGATTGTCAAACTTTCATTATATCAACTGGGTTAAGAACCCATTTAAAGATTCCATATCAAAGAGCAAGTGCATCTTGGCTACAGATTAAGAAATAATGGCATTAAAAGAGGAAGCATCAAATTCCTCAATGTCTCTGTTAGGGGTTTTTGAAATTTAACTGCTATAGCATTACTGCCATTTATGACAACCAACCAAGATAATGAAAAACATTTCAAACATAAAACCTTTAGAACCGGTTCGCCTTTGTTAGAATTTGCAGATTGCTTTGCCATCCCCTGTAGCTGCGCCCGTGCAGCTCTTCCTGCTGCAGATTTTTCAAATTGCTCTTGCCTGCTAACAAGGTAATAATCTAAATGTTATAAATGAAGGAAAAAGAACCCTTCTAAGATCATTTGAATTGCTTCAAGTTCATTTCTTAGTGAGATTATCACCATTGTTTTCCAAGCAGCAAAAAACTTGCTCGTCCAGTAGCATGGATAATCACACCATCCAAGAGAAAATCCTACCCTCGTGTGCCAACTAGTTACCAATGATTGGAAGCGCTAAATCAAACAAGATTAAGTCTTTACTATTGTCACAAAGCAACACACTCAATTGAAGCATTGCATAGATCATAAATAGCCGAAAGCAATCCATATTTTTGGCCAACAACACTCTTTTTTATAATTATTTAAAAAAAAAAACTCCGGCTTCAAATCCTAAAATAGAACCCCCCATTGTTTTAAACCACCTGATTTAGAGTCCAAATCAGAATCTGAATGCAAGGACTAGTACAAATTTCTGAACTTTAAGCATAAATTCATAGGAAAAATTTTGAATTGGCATTAATAGCCCACTACTTGCAATTGAAAAATTAATTAAAGCATCTAAATTGCATATAAAATCCACCAAAACCAGCCAAATTTTATGCAAATTGTTCATTGAAACGAGATAAAAAAGAAACGAGATTAAAAAGAAGATTAAAAAATAGAGTCGAGGATCCAACGAATACCAAATAGTATGTATCCAATAAGATCAGTTGAGATTACCTTTTCTGGGCAGCTTCGGCTGCTTTAGCACGAGCTTCTGCAGAGGCCAATCTCTCTTCTTCTCGTCTCTGTTTCTTGTTTCCTCCGTCGAAGCAGGCGAAGCACGATAGCCCCATCTCTCCACCTCCCTCCTTGCCGAACCCAATGTCACTCTGTTTTTACAGTTTTCGCCCTTCTTTGTAGATTGCGGATAGGACTATTTTTATTCAGGCTTTTACCGGCAATCACCGCGTGCCGCGTTTTTAACAAGGGACCTCCTTGTCTTTTCATATAGTTACCAGGTTCACGCACACGTTTACTTGTCGTCACCTTAATTGGGCTGATTAAGCCCGGTGTTAGCCCATTTATAGCGTACCGAAACGTGCATTTTTTAGGGAATAAAAAAGCACCATAAAAAACAACAGGGGCAAAATCACAAATGAGAAAGAGGGATGATAAATTTAACTACGGATAGTAAACCCAACCAACCTGAAATGATGTTTTATTTATATATATATAAAAAGCTAAAACACATGTCATTTTTATTATTCAAAAAATACTATTTACCCTCTCATCTTTTACGATAAATTACACTAATGTAATTTTTGAAAATTATTAATTTAATCTTTAAAATTCTTTTTATGCATAATTGAATTATTTTAAGATCAAACTAGAGCTTGATTATATTATTTTTATAAAAAAAAGCTGAGTCGAATTGAAGTAGAAAAAAGGATAACATAGAAGGTATATTGATAATTTCTATCAAAAATTCATTTGAATTCTTTATATTTTTTATTTATTGGGCTACTGATCCCCTAATTTTAACAAAATTTAATTTTAATATCAATTTTTATTTACTCATTTTTTGGTTGGAGGAGAGAGAAAAGTTATCAAATTCTAATTTAAAAAAAAAATCTATTGGTAAAGAATTCAACAACTAAAATAATTATTTTTTATGTTAATTGATTCTTAAATAAGAAAAGTTAAGAAATTGTGTTTTTTAACATTAAAAACACCTAACAAATCCAATCTGAGCTAGAAAAATATTTTTTTATTTAGAATGGATTTCAGGTTTTATGGTAGGTTTTTTTTTTTTTTTTTTGTGGTTATAAATTGGTTTAAAAAGATCTATAGGATGCTTCCTAAATATTTTAGACAAAGAATATTTATTAAAAAGTAAAATTTTGATCAAGTTTTTAAAAGTAAATGCTAAAATATTATTTAAAATTGGTTTATTTCTCTAATTGTCTTTTGTGATTAGCTAACCATTTTAAAAAGTAAACGCTATAATTTATTTAAATTCAATGACTATAAATTTAATATTTTTATACCTAATTAGAGAAATAAATATGGGCAATCCCGATCAAGTTTCAACTAAAGCCAAATAAAAATTGGTTAGATATAACTGAGATCACCTCATCAACCAATTTACGATCCAATTCATTTAATCAAAGCCCGATCAAATTCAACTGATGACAAGGATGAAAGGGGAATTAATTCGTAACCCGCTCGGTAAAGAGCTGAAAGAAGAATAACCTAAAAAAAAGCCGCTTGACTTTTTAAATTTTTAGAATGACTTAGTCTTCTTGACCTTAGCCACGACCACGAGTATACGAAGATGATTGGAATTAATTATTTGATTAATTTCATTTAAATACTCGATCGTTCGGGTCAAGTGTTTTGCAATGACTGGTCACCTAGGCTGAATCAATCCTTCCAGACCAGGGAAAGCTTTGGCTACAAGGAACCGTGTCTGCACCTCACAAAATTGGAAGGCCGTTATTTCTCTGAAGAAAATACGCACAGCGGCTCAGAATCAGGTATTGTGCTTTTGAGAGATCGTCAATGGAGGTCCCATGTTTAGCTTCAACTGATCGAGAGAAAACAAGAAGTTTGAACTCTGCGCGCGGGGCATTCTTTGACGAGGCAACACAGAGTTTGGCCTGGCTAGCTAACTGGTTTCATAAATGTAATTGATGGCTGTACGCAGTAACTTGATCCAATAGCCAGCTGATCATTTATTTCTAGAACTGATAAACAGCCTCATGCCATCTTCGGGATCTCTTATCATGGTCCTCTGGGTCTGTTTTCATTTCTAGTTTTCTTTATTTTCTTTTCTGGTTTTTCTTTCTCAATTAAAAAAAAAACGAGAAATATGTTTATTTATTATTGAGAAAAAATGATTTTTTATAAAAAAATTAAAAATACTTTAAAATTATGTTTAATATTCATAAAAAAATTTAAAATTCATAATTTACAATAGTCATCTTGATATTTTATATCCGTGCTCATCTAATTTTAAAATATCAATATAATTTTATTTAAATTAAATATTAATTATTATGAAAAATTATATTTTAACTAAGAAATCATTATATTAGATTTATAAAAAAAATTAAATTGATGACACTAACTAAATATGAAAATTTTAAAAAATAATCTTAATTTTTCATTTTGCTAAAAAATTGCTTGTATATGTACTTTCTTCAATTAAAAAAAAGTGAAAAATCTTTGAAGAAAAACTGTGGAGAAAATCTAAAAATCTAATTTCTAAATTTACTACGAATTTGAAAAACTAGTTTTTCAGTGATATAAATGAAATAAAAATTATATTTTAATATGAAGTTTCAATTAAAGTATCATTCTATTTCTAAACAACTTTTGATTTTTTTCCCTCTAATTTAATAGTTAGGTGTTATGTTACTGTAGCTAGTTTGGTCATACTTTGATTAAACTTACATCTTCAATCTAATAAAAAAGATTAAACAATCGACTTCGAGATTCAAGAATTCAGAAGAAAAAAAATGCATTTTCATGGCCTGATTTAGCTAGAAGTTGAAATTAACAGAACAGATTGCAGACCCGTTTGCTAACAAGATCAGCCCTCAAGTCTCTGGGCCTTTGAGTGAGTGGCAATGTTGAAGTATTGATGATCAATTTCTCTACAAAGCAGTGATTTTTTCTTGAATGAAAATCAAACCTATGGTTTAAGTTAAAAGTGGAGATGACCATGTATAGAAGTGTACGTACAACACCATGCAATCCAAATACAAAGAAACATGAGGTATGGGAGCTCTGCATTTAATTAAATCAACCTAACCCTTAATACTGGTGTAATTAATTTACAATTATGGAAAATTCCAAGGAGGGTTTGAAACTTCCAAACACATCTAACATTGGAACCAAAAATTCTGTGCATCTATTAACAAAAGAAGCAAAATCTAAACCCCAAAAGGCAAAGAAAAGAAAAAATGGAGAGATGAGGTTGATCGATCGAACCGAACCATCTTCAGAAGCTTTTTTGTTGCCCGTGTTGTCGAGGCCATTTATCGGCCGTAGAGCCAGTACTCTTTCTCGCGGGAGAAGATACCCCATGATTAAACATCATCTTGGGCTCACTTAATCTTCTGACATAATCTTTCTTCTGTGATGGCTTTTTTGTACTCAATGCAGGGACTATATACCAGGCAAGAGAGGTCAATAATATAGCAACTGATCGCCCAAACAGAACCACCAATAACAAAATCAAGATGAGAGCAACTGGCATATAATAATAAGGTCTTCGCCATCGGTGCAACTTCATGTTCCATGTAAAAGATTTCTTCTCAGGCTTTCTAGCAGTTTCCATTCTTGGTTGCTCGACTTGTTTCTCTTCAACTGGTACCTCTATTGGCAACTTATCCAAGCCTTCATTGTTGCGAGTGTTGGGGTTTTCTTTGATATCATTAGCGCTACTGATCCTGGGTTTGTCTTGCTTTTGATCTTTAACCTTGATTATAAGAGGAATACAATCATTTGAACTTGAGTAGACGAAACGAACCATGGGTACATCTTCAGGCCCCATCTGTGAATATATCTTCTGCCTTTTCTCTTCAAGTTCCGCTAGAAGTGCAGAGAACTTGTCAAGGCCACGGGACGAATATGGGTTCTTGCTATTCTTGCTAGTCTTGGAACTCTTTCTTGATTTTCTTGGTGTTGCAGAAGGGCTTGATCTTTCTGGTGTTGCAGGAGCGCTTGATCTTTCTGGTGTTGAAGAAGGGCTGTTCCATGATTCCTCTTCTACCTCTAATTGATTCTTAAAGCTGCCACAAATGAATGAGTTGAACATCTGATCATAAATTCTGAATCCTGTTTTGGTATACAAGGTGTGTTTTAGATTGAGAGGTAAGCTTTGGATTATCTACATATATATGTTATGTGGATTGTAGTGGAGAAAGAAGGTGTCGTATGGACCAGATCCAAGCGCTGCTAGCCATGCCATTAGTCAATTAAAAGGTTTGAACAAAACAAAGCCCCACAGAAGCTTCCTTGATCATTTAATTTCGTATCGTTTGACTTCGTGGAGAGGGGGTAACGCAGGAGTTATAATCTATTCCTTCCAAAGCAGGATGGAGAAAATGTCGTCTGCAAGAGAGGTATTGAATTCTACCTTGATGATTCCGGTGGGTTGATCCAATGAATTCGAGTTTAACTAATACCTTGTTTTATTTGAATCGATTTTAATATTTACATGACTAAACTAAATAATATGATGGAAGTTAACACTACGAAATTCAAATAGATTAAAATCAATTTAAATAAATTAAAAAAATATTATTTAAATAAAAATAATAAATTTAAATTAATTCTATGAATTGTAAATTAAAAATATATTTTATAAAAATAAAATTAATACAATGTATAATTAACCGAATCACTGCATAACATATTTACTAGTAAAAATAGCATACTAACCTGCACGACCCGGATCATATGTCCAAGAAGTACAAGTCATTAAGTCCTCTCCCCGTAAGCTCACACCGTGTAATTGTCTAAATTAAGACCATATGGGTGTTTTAACAAATAAAAAATAAATAAAAATAAGGTGCCAGCACAAGTCAAGTTTTCTAATATACGGACTCCATCTAGTGCATCCACAATCATTAATCATACTTGATTTGTATCTGATCGAGTTGCATGAAAGGTTTTTTCACCCATTAATATGAATGTTTGGAAGAGTAATGGTGGTAGTTTAAAGTGTTTTTTTTTAATATGTTAAAATAATATTATTTTTATTTTTTAAAAATTATTTTAAATATTAGTATATTAAAATAATATAAAAATATTAATTAAAAAATAAATTTAAATTTTTTAAAAATATAATTTTAATTATATTCTCAAATATTACCTAATTAAAAACATATATTGTCAGCATTATTGGTCGAAAAACAACTATTAACTGACAAGGCGAAGATATAAAATTAGAGTAATGAAATTATTAACAGCGAAAAATATTGAACTTGGTGTGGAATTGGATTATGCTTTTATTTATCATTATTGTTACGTTGATTTTTATTTTTTACTTATTCTCTCATGTTAATTGCTGCTCTCATTTCAAGTTTCAACTACTACACGTTTTACACCTTCAAAATCTCCTCGCCCGGCCTTGTTAATTATAGTCAACGTTGCTCCCATCATCACCTCAATTATACATATGAAGAGTTTCTTTCTCCACAATTCAAGATCAATATGGGCCACAGAAGTTCCCATCAACGCTTTCGTAGTTTAAAGTTTAAACCATCCTGATTCCTAATGCGAGCTAGCTGCCTGATTTTACAGGTTTATTAATTAATCAATCAATATACAGCTGCTAATTAATCTATATTGGCCCACATGACGTAATATCTTTGGTAAGCATGGGGGTCTCAAGGTTAAACCCCCACTAATCCCATGATATGAGAATTATTAAGAAATTAAGATGGATTACTTGAGAAAGAAGCATACGGTTTAGTCAACATGTCAAATAAGACTTATTGAACTTCTCTGATTTTGTATGTAAATATTTGTAATATTCATCAAGTTGGCCTTAGCTAATTCTTCATATGTGTGTAGTACTGGTGTATAAATATATAGTCTGACATTTGCGAACTGCTACGCTCTCGGTTGTGATAAGTATACGAGACTGCAAGAAACCCTTTATAAATAAAAGCAAATAGAAGCGCATGGTCAAGAAGTTATGCTTGTTTTAAATGGATTAATTCTTGTATAATGCTTGAAATTTCATATTAGGACATTTATTTAATAGAAAATAGTTTTTTTTAAAGAATAAATTTTTAAAAAATAAATTATTTTCTAATATTCAATAGTGTAATAAAAAATAAGTTGGAAAATATTTTTCAGTGTTGGGTTATATCATGGAAAATAAGCTGAAAAACAACTTATTAATATTTTATTTTTTAAAATTTATTAAAATAATGAGAATCAAATCTTATAAATTAAAAATTTGAATGAGAATGAAATTGAAAAAAAATATAATTTCATAAATTATCTTAAATAAAATAAATTATTTTAAATAAAATATGAAGAAATTAAAATATTAATATTAATATTTCAAAATAAAATAAGCAACAATCAAAAGAATGGGGATCAAATTTAATAGATAAAAGATTTTAATAAAATAATAATAAGAAAAAAGAAAATAACAATTATAAAAATGAGGATCAAAGTTAATATAAAAATTAAATTTTAAGAGATGAAATTAAATAATAAATATTCAAATCAAAATATATATAGCAATCAAAAATTTGAGGACCAAATTTGATATAATTATTAAATAATATGATATTTTTAAATTTTATATAACTTCCAGAAAGTATTTTTAGCCTAAATTTTTTAGGAAAATACTTTTTTAAAAATCAAGTTAATTTTTTTATTAGAAAGTGTTTTTTATTAACTAATTTTTTTAATAATAAATAAATATAAAAATATTTGAAAAATGATTTTCTAAAAAATATTTTCTAGAAAACAATCATGCCCTTAATATATTTTTGTCTCGTAAATAAATGATAACCTGTATATAAAAGAGGAATTTAAAATTTATTGCGATGGAAAATCAAGACATCTTGATTTTTAAGTTTTAAGGGGTTATTTAACTTGGTATGGTTTGGTGAATAGATTTGAAATATAACTTGAATCAAGTTAGAAAAAAGATTTAATTTCATCAAAAATAAATGATTGTTCAAAACAAAATTAAAATTTTATTTTATTTAAAAAATAACATCATTTTAATTTTTTAAAAATATATTAAAATAAAATTATTTTAAAACTGACTCTATTAACTTATCTAACTTCTAGCCAGAATTTTTAGGTAAGTCACGAGTTTACATGTCAGGTTCACAACTTAAGTTGTGAAAATCTTTACATGTGTTTAATATGAAAAAAAAAAAAGATTCAAAACTTTCATATGATCTTTGCTGCATTGGCGTGATCAGTTGCATCAATTGCTGTAGAAGTAGAAAATACCATACATGATCCTCGTGAGCAATATGCCGCAAAGTAGGGCCATACTACTTACTACTGGATGGAGGAAAAATTAATAGTCCTGATTAAATAATAATTTTGTTTAGAATGAACTTAAATTTAAAATTTAAACAATATTTTAACTAATTAATAAACTTTTATGGTCCTAAAATAATAATTTATAAAGGTTTAATTGTATATACACTTTTATCCAGAAGTCAACAAGAACAAAATAATTATAAAACTTAAACCATTCCCTCTAAAGACTTTAACTTGGTTAGGAAATTCATAGAAAGTCCTATTCCCAAGCAAACCCTCTCATTCCCTTCCCTCTCTTTTAAAATAAAGTTTTAGGGGTCAACTTTCAAGTACAACGTTGTTGGCACCCAGATGAGAGGGATGAAAAAAAAAAATGGATGCAAGTATGGAAAGTTTGTTGACTTTATAAATTGTGAGTGTTCAAGTCCCTCTAGACTCTCTAATTGCTTATTTTATTCTCTCGTTTTCTTATCAATGGCAGGCCATAAAAAATATATTAAGCATATGTTAAGGTATAGATAGACAACATTAAAAAGAAAAGAAAAAAAGGGTGAGAAGTTGAGATAGACTTGAAAGGCCGGTCATGGGACGGAAATGACTTTCATGTTATCGTCAAGACAACACGATAAACAAGAACGACGACGCTATGTTTGCTCGCAGCCTGTGCTGCCTACTTTGGCCCACTAATTAATTGCCAAATAATGACAGGAAACATATAGTTAGCTACAACCATAATTTTCAACCTAAATTTGATTCCCTGACGTGTTATGGTACCTCAGTTGTCTTCGGGTCTAATTTGGTTCAAAGTCGGGGTTGCGAGTCGGCTAAATCAACTCACAAACGGACGGATCAGCCTGCTTATTTAGTAAATAGTATTGTTTTGATTACTCGAAATGAAACAACATTGTTTTTGAA